GCCGACTGCTATATAAAGGCGACACTCAGCTGCAAGTCAAGTTAGTGATAAAGTAAACTCGTTGGCGTTAACATCAGTAAAGTCGTAAAGTAAACACGTTGGAGAGTACATTTAAGTAGAGTGAATTGTGCAAGTTGATGATAGTGATTGTAAATAGTAGAGTGTATTGTAATTGTATTGTGAATTACGGAGTAAATAAAAGACATTAGATAAAATCTTTATAACGAGAGAAACTGCAAATTGAATTGGCGAGTTTTTATTTAACAATCCAGAGATCGTACCCGAAGGATCTAGAAAATAATCGAGGTTGATTTAGTAAAATCGTAACAATACAGAGTTGCAATAGAATTATTCGATATATCTGAAATAAAAAATCATTACAAAATTATCGATTCTTTGGAATATAATGTCAAAGCTAAAACTCCATAGCGGGCTTTGAAGATTTTGTTTCTCCCAGAAAAAATCTGTTGAGATATAAATTGATTAGAACTACATAAAATTATTTTAGAAACAAACCTTTTTATTTCTACAATTATGAAAAGTTAAATTAAACAAATCATTTCCGGATGATCAGACGGTGAAATTAAAATTTTTGACAGCAAGATGCGTTGAATGAATTAAAAATTGTTGTATCTGTCAGTAACTTATGGCAAGAGATAAAGAAAAGCATTCAGGAGGAATTAGTATTAAATTCCAATGAAAAATTTCCAAGAGGTAGCTTCATAACGAAAGTAGTAGGGAAATTTTCAAAATTTAGTATTTGAATCGTTTTACCATTATTAGATTCAACTTTTTCGCTCACCGTGATATTGCAATGCTTTCTTATTTGACCTATCTTCCCCTTTTCCATTTCTATTCGAGGAAACAATAAATCTTAGTGGTTTCCAAGCTTCAGATGAGACAGTTTTGCTTATTGACGTAGCCGTCGATGTGGAAATGGACCTTTTCAATCAAGATGATTTTTAATAAATTTTTATAGTAAATTTTCATTTTTTTATTACTGATTTAATTTTTACTTGACAAATGTCAAAAAATGACATCCACCGAAATAGCAGGGCAATCAAAATAACACCTTTTATTGGAAAACCCTTCACTTACCATATTTCCCTCGTAAAATTGTAACATACAGTTATTGGCAAAAAAAAAAAAAACATTTCGAAGGAAAATATGTGTACATTTATTTTGTAAAGTAATTTCATAAATAGTTTGGTTGTCATATACATATGTTTGTTTGTATGTATGTAGTAATTGTAAATTTTACTTTAAATATCATTAAGATAAAATTAATTCATACTTAATATACATATGTGTAGTTATGTACGTATATATATATTTATAGGCCTTTCCTTTTGCTTACGAACCGCAAAAGAACGTTAGGTTGATTATTAAAAAATCATCGAAAACAACAACACAAATTAAACAATTTAAGTTACTTAACCGGTTTGAGTTGAGTGCGCTTAAAAGTGCCCGGTCTGACCAACAGTGTTGCAAAGTAAAAATAACCCGAAGAAGTTTTGCTCTAAGCGACAAGCTATTGGGACTCAGCTTCAAATTTGAGAAGTACTTTAGTACTTTAGTGCTTTACAGTAAGAAAAATTGCGCATGGTAGTTCATACTTATTTATTATTATTTTTAACTAAAATTTATATATTTACAACAAGTTAATTGGCAATAACTCAATTTCTTTTGTTTTTCGCTTAAAATTTCAACATTAACAAGGCAAATTTACACACGGCAGTAGCAAGAATACAAAAATAAAAGACCTACGTATTTTGTTTGTGTAATCGTAATCTCGAAACGTCAAAAACGAAATTCGTTCAATGTATTTTGTTTTTTTTTCTTGAATTTTGTTTGTGTAATTTGTTGAAATTAAAGGAAGAACAAGCAGTCATATGTGATAACTTCACCTTCTTTAAATTCGCTTTGGACAGTAAACTGTTTGTATTTTGACGGTTAAAAGTAGTGTTGTGCAGTAAATATAAATTATAAGCCAGCAGGGCGTTCTTTCGCAGTTCACTCCCAATGGAAAAGGCCTTATATAACTACAAACATTCATGCTAATACCCTTAATGTGTGGCTACATGATGCATTATTTATTTGTGGTTTTGTTTCATAATTATTTGCTAATACATATACAATATATAGCTTTTATGCTTTTAACATTTAAATATATATAGTTATATATATATGTTTTATATATTTACTGTTATTTTATTGTATTTTATTATTCTAGTTATATTTTAATTTTTCGTATATAAATTGAAATTGCTCTACATTTGAAAATTTGTTGTAAAAATTACAGAAAATATAAATAATAAATAAATAAATACACATTTAAGTTATTTAAGATTTTTTAGAAAAAATGTTGAAAAAATATGCGCACTTTAATACGAATATAAATGTAAAGAGATAAAATGTTTAGTTTTACATCTATTAATGTGTAACTAAAGTTAGTAAAGTTTTTTATTTATTTTTTTTTTTTTGTATACTATATTAGGCACATAAGCGTTTTTATACAAGAACGAGTTAAGGTATAATAGGTAAAAAGAAATTTATACATATGTATATAAAGGTGTGGAATAAGAGATTATAGCATAACATATTAAAAAAAATAAAACAATAATATATACAAACATACTGCAAGCGCATTTTAGTCACTTATTAAATATGGTATATGTAGCTTTTGTTTTTGCAATAAAATTGTTACTATTTGTTATTGATTTATAACTCCAAGCGAAACTAATATACAAAATCTAGCAGCTTAAAATACAGTTGTAACATTACTTATTTAAATTTGTTTTTATTTTTTTTATATTTTTACAAAAGGACAGGCGTCATAGAAATTTAACTTAATAATTATGCAAATGCAATTTAACAGTGTTTTTCTTTTACTTTTTTGTTTAATTTTTATTGATTTTTTTTTTAATTAACGCAATCTCTGGATAACTCTTAAATTCATTTCAAAAATAAATACACATTATCAATACCAACTCTGTAAATATGCTTTATATATGTTATGTATGTATGTATGAATTGCCGGCAGAGACAATACAAATGCATTGCTTAACACCTTACACTGTGCATGTGCGATTTTCGGTTTAACCTTAAAAAGGTATACAACAGACATTATCGCCTACATGTATAATAGTGCAGTGCAATTATTTATTTTATATCCTAAGACAGTCTTCTTTATATTCATTTAGTTTAGTTAAATGTAGGTTCTAGTTCAGAGCTTGCGCAGGTGAGTGGTGGCACAAAAACTTCAATAAGAAACAAATTAATTTTTAGACGATACTTAAAAAAAAAAAATAATAATAATAATGGCGCATAATTAAAACACTTCACATAAAGTGTTTATTTTGGTTATTTTTATGCGCTAAAAATATTGAAGCAAAAAATTTCTAATTATTATTTTTAATTTTTTTTTAGTAAAGAAAGGAAAAGAAACTCATAATCTTTATACAACATTTCCTACACTAACTCACCAGCTATTCTGTAATTTTTGTTAATATTTATATTTATGTAAGATATTTATTTACAAAGCGTACATTAGTTAAATACGATAAAGATATTTGTATTTAACATACTATACTAAGTGCATAATGTTGGTTTCATATACATATATATTTTTTACATTTTTTTAAGTTCATATTTACGTTGTAGTTGCTTTATTTGCTTATCAATATTATGATGTTTCAAAGTGTAATTTCAAAGTCATTAGAAACATAGTTCACCGGAAATGATCCAAAAACAAAGAAAGATAAATAACAATAAGCGAATTTTAGAGCATTTAGATTTTCACTGATTTTTAGAACATATTTATGCAAAATATCTAACGGTTTAAAATTCAAAATACGCCTTAGCATATACTAGAAATGCAAATAGAAACAACAAGAAAGGGTTTAAATAAACAATTTGGATTGTAGCATAATATTTAAGACGGCACAATGCCATATGCGATCTAACAGTTAAGAAGCAAGTTCGTTGCCTATGAAGCATTGCTTTATTGAATTTTCGGACATTCTTTTGTATAGAAACATCCATTTCACTGGTTTTGTTTTTGTAGCTACGCAATATAAAAGTACATTTATGCACACATCCATAGTTACAGAGAAACGAAATTTTATTCACATTGTAAAACTTTCATTAAATTTAAAATCATTTTTAACTTTTAAAGTTTCATTCGTTTTTTGTTTTGTTTTTTTTACTTGGCTACGCTAAGCGATCGTTTCTTACATTTTCTTTAACATACATATTTTGTTGACGGTTCACATTATTTGTCGTTGATTTATTGTTACTTTCTATGAAGACATAAGAAAAAATAAAAAAAATACTTGATTGCTTTTCATATGAAACACTACGTTCTTATTGGACTGTCCCCTCACTGTTCAAGAGGCAGTTAAATTCTTTTACACAAAAAAGTTTTTTGTTGTTAATAAAAAAAAAACTGACAAAATGTACTACAAAAACATGCATACATATGTATAAAATATAATTTCGTTGTGTTTGTGTCGGTGCATGTTGATTTTGGTCAAAATTTGGTTTATGCGGCTGTGCTTCACAAGCGCTTTCAAATATAGAATTTCATAATTGTTTTTATTTTTATTATTATTATTATTTTATTTATTTTTCATTTTTTCAATTATTTATCATAAGCTCTTGCTACTATCTATTACTACTTTCAAACAGACATTATTATGTTGTGCAATTTTTTCTGTATACTATTTGCTTACAACGGTTTAATAGGTGCTTTCAATGATGTGTAGATTATATCACTATGTGTTGTTGTATTCTATAACTGTGCATATTGAAATATTTTATAACTATGTAATAGCTGTGTTGTGTTATATAGTTTTGCATTTAAACACACATTTAAACGTTAGTACTCCCAAGTTTTTATTCTATTTCCCTTATTACTTCGACGACTATTGAGTATTCCATCAGGATATGTGGTTAATTTGTACGGTTTTCTTTTCAATAACCCCAAACATTTTATGCTTGCACAGGACGCCTGCCACGTGGTTTTATACTCTCCGATATTTGCCACATTTCTTCTTCACCCAATTCATACTCAAAATTGTCGAAGAAACGTATAATGCGTTCGTTGCGACGGAAATTGTACTCGCTGCGTATAAAGAAGGGAAGTTATTGAAAAGAAACAAAAATGTATGCATATAAAAATAGGGTAACAAACCATTTCTTAAAACGTTTCATATTCTCAATAAGATGATATTGCTGCCAACGTTTGGAGAAATTGATTACACCTTCTTTTAGATAATCTGGATTGCCGACATGCACGAATGTTAAATCCTGCAGGACTAGACCACTGAAATTGAGATGAAAAAGAAATATATTTTTTTTTGACCTTTTCATAATAAAGTTACCTAATTATAAATGTGAGAAAAACAAAAACAAAAATAAATAAATGTAAATATATAAAGCTTTCTTCTGAAAGATTGACGGATCAACCAATATATTAAACCACTGAACGTAGAGACCTGTAACTTGAAGGGTGTGTTCTGCTTGCGACTTAAGCGATCTATACGAAAAAGTTGAATTTGATTTTTAGTTCGTTTGATTTATATGAAATTTGGTACACAAGTAACTCTTTGTTGAATTGATGATATAGGAAACACTTTGTAGTTTAATTTACATAAAAAATTGGCACAGCGGTAGTTTTGGGCCCATGTTACCATTGGGAATGATTTTTCTTGTTGGAAGTGGGTCTGAGATCGATTGCGGTTTTTATCTATACGGCGTTGAAAACGTGTTTATTCGCGGTAAAAGCTTGTTTTTGACAGTTTTTCGATTGATTAACTCAGTATGTGGTGAACGCCAGCAAAGAGAAAATTCGCCTGTGTCGGAAGGCCTGTCGTCGAAAATTGCGATAAAATCATGAGAATGATGGAAACAGACCGTCAAGTGAGCACTTATTTAATTGCTGAAGAACTATGGATAAGCCAGAAAACCGTTTGGAGCCATTTGCATTACCTTGGAATCAAAAAGAAGGTCGATGTTTGGGTGCCACACGAACTAACGCAAAAAAACATGATGGACCGAATTTCCATCTGCGAATCACAATAAAACCGGCCCGTTTCTGAAGCGGATTGTGACTGGCGATGAAAAATGGGTCACTTACGACAACATCGAGAGCAAACGGTCGTGGTCAAAACTCGGTGAGGCGGCCCAGACGGTGGCCAAGATTGGCTATTGGACGGCAAGGAAGGTTTTGTTGTGTGTTTGGTGGAATTGGCAAGGAATCATCTACTATGAGCTGCTCCCCTATGGCCAAACGCTTGATTCGGCCCTGCTGCCAACAAATGGATTGCTTGAAGGCAGCACTCATCCAGAAGAGGCCATTTTTGATCGACAGAGGCCGAATTGTGTTCCAACAGGATAAAGCCAGGACACACACGTCTTTTGTGGTGCGCCAGAATCTCCAGGAGCTCGGATGGGAGGTCTTAATGCACCCACCTTATAGACCGGACCCTGCCACCAAATTAGGCATGTGAAAATTGGCTCTCCGAGTTTTTTTGCCAATAGGGACGAAGACGAGAGAGGTATAATGAAATTGTCATCTCGTTGACAACAAGTTTACGAACAAAACTGCGCATATTTGACTTAAATCGGACAAATGAACTTTTCACTTTACCTAATATATTAGGTAAAATGTACAATAAAATTAATAATATAATAAGCCTATTAAATCTTATTAGAACCATCTAAAAATTAGGAAAATGCGAACGAAGGCGAGGGCAAGCTCTGTACTTACATATAAGGTATACAAGGCGGACTTGTTGCAGCCAATGTTGTGCGATATGCACGAAAGCTTGAACTCGAATCGATTAGTAAACAATATTCCTTTATGTCTTGCGTAATAGTTTTATGCCATTCCAATCTGTAAAAAAAAATTAAAGAAGCAAATACAGTCATCGAATATGCAATTTAAAGTTTGAATTTTATTTTCTTACCTTCGTATGGGCGCCGAGTCCAATGCCGACAGTAAAGCCAAATACGAATTGTAATTATTCATTTTACGCAAATGTTTCATTATTTTTATAAATTTAACAACATGCTTTTCACGTTCTTTGGCATCGCTTAAAGTGAGAATTTTCGATCTCGCCCAAAATGACATATTATTAAAGTGTTCCGTGAACTTATTCAAATTGGGCGATTTCTCCTCACTTTGTTCTTTGGCAAATAGCAATACTTCAGGTATTTCAATTTTCTGAAATAGATCAGCATCGAGCAGTGTCATTTGCTCGGCAATTTCCACAGATTTCAGATCGAGCAGACTGGGTTGATTGGTTACAGTGATATGCATATCGGCTTTGGGCGGTGGTAAACGATATTCACGGAATAACGTCACCTTTGAGTAAAAAAAAAACAGAGAGAGGGAGGAAAGGAGGAAGAGAGAAAGAAAGAGGATGCATGAATTATGGGCACATAATACAAATGAGCATAATTACATACCTTCTCCACGAATATGCTGCGTAGGGTTTTCGCTAAATACAGCTGTCCGGCGCAGACCAATTGATAATTGAATTCTACAATCAATGAGAGCAGCTGATCTGTTAGGTCCATTGAACTATATTTTCAAAATTAAGAAATTTACTAATTTCGCTTGCATTTATATTACCGGTGTATCACTTACGTTAAACCATCTACTACTCTCATCAGCAGTGAAAATGTCTCTCTGGCTACGCGCTGTTTTTGATCATTTTGGCAACAAAAGAATATTGTATAGCGATGGGTAAGTTTTTCAATCACATCAATCGGTTGGATAAAAGTACGAAATGTTGTGATGAAGGCGTCAATGAATGCTATGAGCAAACAAAATAGTAAGGATTAGTAATCTGTTAAGGCGAAGGTAATATATTGTGGCTAAAAAAACATTAATTTATCAATTTAAAGTTTTTTCCATAATAATAAAATTAAGTTATAAAAAGATTTCGAGGGTTCTAACATTAATCGAAATTTTATAAAGTTATATTACAATTAAAAAAAAATATATATATAAGCCGTCTTCGGCCTATATATATAATTGACGCTTTGTAACCGCTGAAGCGATTTTCGGTCGAACTCTTCCTCCGATTTTTGGTGTGCGTCTTGATGTTTTTAAAACAAAAGGGGGGACCCACAGTTTAGATCAAGTCGTCTTTGAAAGATTTCATGTCAGAAATACGGACGGTGCCATTCCTTACTGACAATCCCAATGAGAAATTTTAATTTATTTTATTATTTAAATTAATTTTCTATAATTTTCGGAAGTTGGTCGGTCCAGAACTCGTACTCTGATTTTCCGAACGAAAAAAGGCAGTAGGAACTAAGCGAATTCAGTAAACATTTTTAGTTCTTTCATACATTGGGAGTGTGAGCGCGTGAACTGTAACTGTTTTCCTTTTTATTTTAAATCAAAAAAGTTCCCCGCGGTTTTTTGTTTACTTTTTAACAACATTTTTCTTTATTGAAAATCAATCTTAATCAAATAAATGTTTGTCTGAGGAAGTACAAATCCTCTTCCATTGATCAATTCTGAAAGCTTTTCTGTCTTCGCTAGAACTCAGAATGAGTTATTAGGCATCTTTGAAAAGAATCTTTCGGGAATCCATGGTATGGCGTATTCTTACTGCATTCTTATTGAAAGCCGCACAAAATATTCGGCACTTTTTTGCAGTGCTTTTACTTTTTTATACTAAAAAAATGATCATCACATAACGTATTTCTTCGGAAACTTAACTCATTTTCAAATTGAAATAAATTTTCACAATATTGACGATTTACAGAACTGACTTTTTAGAAAATCTCAAAATGTTAGCTTTCAAAACACGTGACCGAACCGATTAGTTTAGCCCTAAATAAGAGTATCAAGAATATCTAGTGACAAAATCCGTAAAAACTTTTTATACTTGTATATTTTAGGACACAATACTTTTTTATTCTTATTCTAAATTTCACTTTTAACTATTTCTATTTAAAACTTCAAGAGCTACTATTATCTTTGTTTACAAATACAAACTCACCATTATCGTTCTGCACACGACTCGCATGCACAATCAACGCATCCACATAACCGCCCTTCACTTCCGGCCCATCCTCATCCTTCCGCTTGAGCACCAAATATTTGCTAACATCAATCTCCTCTAACATCTTTGGCATTTCATCCTGCGGCACTGTTTGTAATTCCCCACACTGTAAATATTGATAAAAAAAAAGCAAAAAAATATATACTGAAAATTTAATTTTATTTAAAATCTTCTTACCTTATCCTCACCGTAGCTAGAGCGCTCCAACAATTGATCCTCACCAGCACTCGCCGCCCGACTGCTCGGCGTACCCTCATGTGTATCGGCACGTCGTAGTGGCGAGTGCTGCTGTGTCACATGATTATTGCAATTCTCATCAGGCAACTGATGTGAGTGGCGCAACGATGCTTGCTCCTCCTCGGTGAGATCGCCAAGTTCTTCACACACCGTGGACATCATCTCACTGCCTTGTGTAGCGGATATTACACGCGCTGGACGACCGTTTTCCGCATCAGCACCAGCACTTAAATGTGTGGGTTTCGGACTAGGTGGTGGTGTTGTTATTATAGTGGGCGGTGTTGCGCTCGACTTGCGATGCTGTTTGTAATTCTTTGGCGGTAGTGCGGGCGGCGTTTCATCTTGCGCGGCTGGCGATAAATCCTTTGGTAGTGGCACAATGCTATATAATGAGAAGTGTAAAATTAGTTCTCAAAAAAAAAAAAATGTAAGCCAATTCAAGGAAAATATTTACTCACTTCATTGTTTGGCTATGGGAAATGTTCCCCGTAAAGTCGTGCATATGCATGGTATGACGTCCAAGTGGCCGATTGGGACCCTGACACAATTCCATATACGCCCAAACTGCGGAAAGTAAAATTAATTATTATGCATTATATAAATTTTGCAAGCATATGAAAATGTAAAGCAGTAAATGATGATAAATAGTAAACACGCAATACGAATATACATATGGATGATGACTTTTTTGGCCAAGCTTCGAAGAAAATATGGTTTTGATAACTAAATTTTTCCTTGCAGATGACACTGAGACAGAGCTACAAATGGAATGTATAAAAAATGATACAAATGACAGCGAATCAAGCGCAACATTTGAAATATATGCGAATTTCAATATGTAAATAATACGAAACGGCAAACTTTAAAGCTTACACTTTTAAATAAAGCGTAAATGAAATTTTGCCAAATCATTAGCTTTGACATAAGAAAAGTGAAATAAAAAATTCAACGTTTTGTTGCAAAACAAAATTTCATGCTTAACGGTGCATATGGTGACATTTCGCCAAGTCATTAGTGAAACAAATTAGATTTCAAAAAAGGCAAAATACAGTTGAAACAAGTTAAAACGGAAGTGTTTGGAAAGTCAAATATGTATGCTTATTGGTATTGTGTATGGTACAAATAAGGCCAATTTGGCTACAAATAAATTTATTCATTAAAATATTGACGAAATAATAGTTGCTAGACATCTTTTGGGATTTTATTTCTTTTTTAACTGAAAATTGAAAAGAAGTAATTTTTATACCAAAGATTTTTAATATAGGATTTTCTACAATTGATAAAGAATTAAATTTTCAATTTTTTTTTTTGCTGAAAACATCAATAAAAACCTTTAAAACGATTTGTTGGAGAAATTAACTACGAAAAACAAAGTTGATATTTCAAACAATATTTTTCGTGTTGATAGTTACAGCTGTGCTCGTTGAGAAATGTCAATAAAAATTTATCTCAACAACTCTGTATATTTCGTTGCCCATTTCTTCAACGAACAGAACTTATGCAAGTCGTCATTCATGCTGTAAGTGAACACCAGACCCAGTAGTGATTTGCTACTTTTCGTTCCGGAATATTTGACATTAAAGACATACCTCGATTTGGCCATTCACACTAAAAGAAAGCAAATTGCAACTTGCAAGCGCCTGATGTAGTCAGACGATAGCGAAGGCACTCACGTGACAGTTTGGAGTTTAAAAAGTGAAGCTTCATGTTTGAGTACCACATGAATTAATGAAAAAAAGTTATTAAGGGAATTTCCGCTGAAACGCAAACCAAATCGAATCACTCCTGAAGCGACTCGTCAAGTGCGATGAAAAATTGTGTAAATACGTGCATAAAAATGCGATAAATATCATAGTTATAGGCCAGTGATCGTACACAAATAACTTCAAAGCCCGAACTGACGCCAAACAAGGTGGTGCTGTTTGAATGCTCCAACCGCATAAATCGGAATTTGCACCGTCTGACTACCAAACGACCGATCGACGAGCCGTTGAAAATTATTTGGCCGAACACTTCGCCGATAACATACCGAAGTGTTTACCGTGATGCCATTACATAGCTAACCGAAATGTGGTCATAGATACTAATGGACCAACATATTGGTTAAAGTTAATTTTCAATAAAGAAAATTGAAAAAAAACGTGTATTTTTTTTAGTTATCACTACGTTTGTAGCTTACTTACTTTTTGGCTTACTACCATGAGAAAGAACCTAGATTCGACTACAACATCAAATATTATAGAAAATTTATTGCCTTTGCGGGCTAGGGGCTCAAAAAATTACCCGTGGTTCGGCATGTCTGCAATAAGAGGCGATTGGAATCCAATAGTTACCGCGCAGCCGGCTCTTTATACCGCAACGACCCGAATTTTTATCCGGCCAAGGACAGTCACTTCCTCAATATTCGCCAAAATTCAATTCCGGGAACATTTTGTGGTTATAAAAATAACAATAACAACATAGAAAAATAATTGCAATAAAAAATGAAGTAATTTTTACTAATTTCGGTCGCCTCTCGGCAGGAAATATCCCATAAAAAGTGCTCATAAAAATCCATTAGCTGGAGAGCTGGTTTTAGAATAAACTGTATGTCCCTACATTTGTTGGAAATACAACAAAACGCAGAATACCACAAACTGGTTCAGATGATCGATAGAAAATTTCTTCAGTAGTATACAGCGAGCAGAGGTAATGTCAAAGTGATTCCCCGAGTCTGGTGTTTTCAATTATGTACTGGCGTATCTTAAATTAATCGCCAAGGGTTAAAACTTGTTTCATAAAGGTCCACAATATTAACTCATTCATATAAAAATGTATAAAAAAAAAAAATGAGCAACCTGAAAGTCTTCTAAGCTTAATTTTTCGTAGAAAAATTGTTTAATCTTGCTTACAAAAATTTTTTTAAAAATAAATGGATAATATAAAAGTAAATACCCAAACAGTATTAATAAAATTGAATTTACAAAATCTCATACAAAATTGCTATAACATAATTGTAAGAAACTAAAATAAATTTCGAAAAACTCCGCAATAAGTAACTTTCCTCAAGTCAAAGTTAGATAAAAATAAAAATTTTGAATAAGTTTTTTTTTTTTGTAGATCATCCCTTTTTTTTGTCTATTTTTGCAATGATCGAAAGCAGTTGATGATATACATATGTACATAAGGTACGTGTGTTTATTTAAAGAAGCAAATCGAAAGCGTTGATAAAAACTTAAACTCTTTTGAACTGGAAATCAGGCAACTAATGAACTAAGAGAAGAACAACAGATTAATTTTTATTTAAATATTTGTAACTTGAACTTCGCACACTGCAACATTCATATCAAATGTATGTATATACAGCTATGGTCACGCAAATAGCACAAAGTGTATTATACGAGAAAATGTAACTCTTCTGAGGAATATAACGTATTTTTCTGAATAAAAAATTGTATAATAGTTACTTATGTTATCTAGTTTACAGTGCGTTTCGTACATTCCCGTTATCCTATCAATCATATTTTTTTCGTCGATTTATCTGATCGAGCTATTAGTTAGTGGTGGTCACGCAAATAGCACAGTCATCGGTTGGATCTTGAAAGTATCTTTTTATTTATTTTTAGTGAAATTTAAATACATTTAAAGTTCAGTTCTATCAATATTTACGCAGATTGAATTAAAATGGATTGCGATAAACACTGTTTTCTTTAAAAAAGAATCATTATTCATAACATGGCTAAGACAGGAAGTGTTTCAGAAATTGCAGTTTTCTGGAATTATTCCCATAAAATAGTACATAATGTCTTTAAACTGGTTCAAGAGAGTGAAGATTATCTATCTCAAAACAAATCCTAGGCACCTGCTACGCGCAAGACAGCGATCTTTGAAGACAGAGCCAAAATACGAAAAAAGAGGCTAGATCCTTTTAAATTTTCTAGGCAAAAATGCTGAAAATAAACGAAGAATTCGATTTGACTATATGAAGAAGTCATGTTGGAAGGCGTTTAAATAAGACCCAGCTCTTTGGACGCAATACCCGCAAAAAACCACTCCTGTCAAAACGGCATATAGAAAAACGGTTAAAGTTTGCTAAGACGCCTGAGAATCGGGCGATAAGATTTTGGAATAATATGTTACGGACCGATGAAACTAAAATAAATAGAATAGAACCGGATGGGAAAACCACATTTCATCGCCAAAGAGGTCAAGATTTGAATCCTAGGTACAATAAAAAGACCATAAAACATATGGGCGGTAATATCATGATTTGGGGGGCATTTGGACCAATTGAGCGGATAAATGGAAAAATAGACAAATATCAATATCTGGACATCTTAAAGAATGAAATGGAACGATTTGTATTTGACTCCATGCTACTTAATTGGACTTTTATGCAGGATAGTGATCCTAAGCATACCGCGAAGGTCACACAAGATTGGCTTAAGAAGGAAAATATTCGTATTTTGGATTGGCATGTGCAAAGCCCAGACCTAAACCCAATAGAAAATTTATGGAACGATGTTAAAACAAAAATATCTGCAAAAAATTCGATGATTTGTGGGAGGACGTCAAGGGATAGTGGTACTCCATACCAAAAGAAAAATATGAGAAACTTGTTGAGAGCATGGGACGCAGATGTGAAGTTGTTATTAAAAATCGTGAATATACTAGAAAATACTAATAGATAAGACCTACTTAAGACTAAAAATGGTATATGATCTGGCATATTTGAACTTAAAATTACAAGTTTTGCAAAATGTGCTATTTGCGTGACCACATAATTTCATTAGGAACCTCAAACTTTAAATTATTTTAAACTTTCATTGAATTATTATTAATTTTTTTTTATAAAGGTTGTGTTAAATAATAACTGAGTGAACACATCGTTACAATATTTTCATATTTTAAGCACAAATATCCCTTTGTTTCATTATTATGTATCGGAAGGAAAGTTGTGCTATTTGCATGACCATTGCTGTATGTATAAAGCAAAAATCAAAAGCTCAGCATTGCGAACAATCACAATTACGTATTTATTATTGATGGCCAATTGCAAGATAACAAAATTATTCATCGAAAAAGAAAAAGCGTTTGGTGGAGGAGCAACTACATAGAAGACAGTTGTGTATGTATTGTATGTATGTAGGTACATAGGTAGGCAAGCAGGCAGCAGATAAACTTACCCGAAAAGGCCACACTTTGAAACACTAAATCGTTAGAACAATTCATTTGGGTTAATGTTTTTCGCAAGACAATATTACATTTATTATTATTATTTTTAAGATTTTTATTGCAATAATATTCAGTATTGCTTTTATAATAATGTCTATTGGTTTCTTGTGTCGTTGTTGTTGTTGTTGCTGTTGTTGGTCGCATAGTAGTAGCTGTTGCTGTTTCGTCGAATTTGGTATTTGTTTGTGTATGGATTTGTTTGTCATCTGTTTGTTTGCTATTTATATTATCATTATTGTTTTTGTTATTGTGTACTTCTGCAGTGTTGGAAGTGTTTGGACATATTTGTGTTCGGTAGTCGTTACGTTGTAACGGAAATGTGTTGGAAAATGCGGAAGTAATTGGTATTGTGGTGGTAATGTTCTGCTTTGTACTACAAGTTTTTGTTGTTTTTGCTGTTTTACGTCTCTGTGTTCTACTTTTTATAATTAAATACACAGTTTTATTATAAATAGTGTTTTATTATCGGAATTTAAAAAAAAAATTAAATTCGTTTAAAAATCAATAACATTGATAACAAAAAAATTTGTTAATTGAGTGAAAAGTATTATTGAATTCAGAAAAATTTAATTTGGAATAATAAAAATATATTGATATAATAAATATGACGATTAAAGTTCATTTTGTAATGCAATCAAATAAATATTTGTTTGTTGTTATTTTTTATTGAAACGTTTTGTGGCCACAAATGAGACACAAACATAAATAGAAACAATTTACATGTGCATGTGTGTATGCATATAAGTAAATAAATATTTGTACGTGTGTATTTTGTGCATAGGTGAAAGTGTATGGACCACCGCCGTTAACCGCAATCAGGAAAACAGCGATTTATGTATGTATGTATGTATGTATGCATTGTGGTTTTGTTTTGTGTGCGTGTGTGGGCGTATGCAGATATCATATGTATGTAGGTGGTGTGTAGTTATTTTTGTAGATTTTTTTTTTTGTACAAAACAAGATACACAAACATATACCACACAAAACAATAAACATTTGAACGTATGTGTGTTTTTATTGTTTAAACCAAACACAATATGTGACGTAAATATAAATCAGTGGTTTGAAAAAAAAAAATGTGGAAGGGGGAAAAAGAAAACAGAAGAGAAAAAAAAATACGAAAATATAAATTAACTGTGTGTGCCGTGTGATTGAACTTACTGTGCTTTTTCTTGACGGGCAGCGGCGGCGGTTGCCCTGCATCACCAAAGTTCGTGCAACTCGTGCTGGCATATCCACTAACCAAATGTCGCGAATCGAGTAGACTTTGATGTTTAGTTTGTTGCCACGGCGACACGTGATGCGAATAATCACTATGATGGATACGTTGACTATGTTGGCTATAGCTGTTGTAGTGCGCATAATGATGTTGTCGGAGCTCGGCAATTTCACTGAAACAAAAATGATATGTTAATGTAAGTAAAAGTAAATATTTTAAGTAAAAATAAATTGCTTTATGCAAAAGAAATTTTTTTAGTTATAAAAATTAGAAGTTTAGTGGAATAAGTTACGATTCTATGCAGGGGTAAAGAAGGGAAAGTTTGTATTTCTTGCTCTTGAAAAGTTCGAGGGCGCAATACTCATCAAAAAGATTTACATTTATTCGATTTTGAAAAGGATTTGAATCCCTTTTAAGCTATCAAAGTGTTTCCTGCAATTTTAATCCTGAGATTCTTAAACAAATCTCGTGGTCGTAGTCACCTGTAAGACAGCTTCTTCGTGTAAGACATCTGTCACAATTTGTGCTAAAAACTGAGTGAACTGAAAATCATATTGTATATTTATATCATAAAGAATCCTTCCCTGCTAGTGGAGGTTGTTAGAGGATTTTTTGTTGTTGTAGCACTTCTCCTACCCCTCATAGAACAGGCTAGTTAGTCTAAGCCATTGAGGTTATCTAATGGGTGGCCTAGGAAACGACTAGAGGGAGAGGGGCGTTAGATGAGTTGGTTTTTGGTGGCATGCAAAGCGGTGGTTAGTGTCGCGCGGGGACTCGTTGCATGCAAAACATCCGTTAGGTATGTCGGAATGGAGTCTGAATGAGTAGGATTATAACCTGCTACGTTCTAACCTTACTTCAGACCAGAGTTGTGGCAGTATTATGCGGGACTCTCGAGGCAGCTCGAGCTCTTCATCTGCTGCAGATGTTAGTTTGACTTCGAGAGCGCTATTTACAGGGAGAGAGTTCATGAAGGTGTTAACTGACTCCTGAATACCGTCTATTAAGTCAAGTATTCCCTTTCTAATGTGTCAGAGTAGAGGTTGTGGATTTTATTAAATGACTTTTGGTGTGCGCCAGCTCTCATGACAACTGGCCGAACCGGATTTTATGCGGCGAGGGGCTGTCACCCTTTCGGCGACATAATCTCGTTTAGATCAGCAGGTAACATTAGTCTGAGGAGGTTGTTTAGGAGCAGTTTAAGTCATTCAGGTCATCAAATGGGAAGTCCAGGATATGAGATATTTCGACGACTTTGGACCAGAGGGGCATGGGTCGTGCTTGGTCTCACCGCATGCGGAACACACGTTGGGTATGTTGGGGTCAAGTCTAGATAGGTAGGAATTTAGTCTATTACAGTATCTGGATCTTATCATTTTAGTGCTAACTGCGCTTAAGCTCTTGTATTATAACTATTTTTTCAATTGCTCGCCCCCTATGACATTTATAATATTAAAATTTGTTTTCCTTAACCCAACCCATAAAAATTTAACTATTATCTATAATATAGGGGTGTAATATTACTCACCCATTATTATCGTCCATTTCATCAAAATTATCATATTGCGATAACATACGCGCTGCAGCATCCTTATTCCGATTCGTCTTGGGTGGCAATGCTGGCGGCACTAAATCATCCGATGACGAGCCCGTATCCAAACTACCACACTTCCTAAGCGATGAAAATGACGATTGCGTCACATGACTAGTACTGCTGGTTTGCATTGAACGTTCGGTTAGCAGACCGCTACCCTCATATTGATCCGGACTAATGCTGCTCGTATTACTTATCGAACGTGCCTCATGCGATGACAATGTAGACATATTATTCAGGATACTACTCGAAGTGGCCATCAGCATGGTAGAAGACATTGTACTCGTCATTGTCGAGCATGTGCTCTGTTGGTGGTGAAATTCCTGCGTGTGTGTATGAAATTCTCCACTACTCGAGGATTCAATGGCATCAAAAGCGATTTCTGAATTGGAACTAGATTTGGTGGACGATTGAAAGCCGCAATCTGATGAACGTTTCGAAACACTGTGCGCTGAGCTGCGCATTGATGTCATAGAAACGAAGCCTGAAAAGTATGAGTAGGTGCGTGAGAGTAATGTGGTGATTTTTGAGAGATGGAGTTAACAAACATACATATAATTATAAAATTACGTATACACTACATTAATTAATGAATCAACTACAAAGTATAACAGTAAGAAAATGAAAGAACATAAAAACGCACAGTAAAAATTTATTTAAAAATTTTAGTCGAAATACACAGTACTCAAAATTAGTCTAACAAACCAAACAAAACACATTCGAACCGTAACAGCAACAAATATATTATAAAAAAAATAAACAAAACATTTTTAATGGAGCGAAACATGCTTTTTAATGCAGATTAATAGTACGAAACCATGACGCGGACTTAGTGACAATAGAAATGAAAACAGAAAACAAACCAAAAAACAATTCGCAAAATACATATATATGTATATTAGCATGATACGCATGAATGCAATTAATTAATTTTTTATTTGTTTATTTCAACGTTAAATACCCGATTCATTGGAATGACGATTATTAGTAGAATTTTTGCGCATTTCCAGTTTATCAGCAGCGGTGACACCGGTGCCGCTATTACCGTTGCCTGATTGTGTAATAAAATCACATTCATCTATGCCATCGCTTGCCACTGAAGTAGTGACAACAGCACGCCGTTTGGCGGTTTCTGCAGCAGCGTTCTGTGTTTGTGTAGTGAAAGCAGTATTGTTGGTGGATTCTACATGACCACTGCCACTAGATTTACTATTGCCAGCGACTTTATTGTGCGACACAACGCGTTTGCCAGTGCTTGCAAGTGGTTCTGTATATACATAGCATAGGATTTTTATATTTATTTGGTGTTTTTTTTTTTTTGATTGTTAGAAATTATTTCGCTAGTTTATGACTAAACAATCGGCATATTGATCAAACTTACTTGATATGTTTAATTTATCAACATCATTATCGAGCATGCTGTCGTTGAGACGATTGCCCAAACCCAAGGCTTTTAATTCCTCCTCCTCACGTGAATGATTCAACTCTGAATCGAGTGAGCATTGACTAGAATTTTCATCCGGCGAATGTGAGTGCACCGAAAGATTGCTCATACTATGGAAAGAGAAAAATTATATATGAATAAATTTACAAGTTAAGTGCTTAGTTAATGAAAACTTACTAATCAACACCGTAGTTGCCAAGCGAAATATCGGAATTCCATTCCAAATCCGAGTTCATACTCTTATTATTTGAAAGCAATTGTTGTTGATTTTGTTGTTGATTACGGCGTTTGGGCGGCAGCGGTGGTGGTCTAGGGAAGTGAGTAGAAATTTTTATTACATATTATGTTATTCAATTTTTTTTTTCGCTCTAATTTATCACCTATTCGGTAGCGGTGGTTTGGGCGGCGGACTCGTATCGCGCAAAATGCTCTCTGTGCTATGTGAGGCCCGTATGGGATTGGAGTTGGTTTTCTCTAAAATATCACGTTCTCTGCAATGGTAAGGGTTGAAAATTTAGAATAAAATCAGGTAAATTTTGAAAAATTTTGAAAAATTTTTGGTTGTAGTAAACAATTTTAAAATGAATAGAATTTTAAACTTTATTATGTAATGATATTATTCGATAGCCCAAAATTAGTTACCTACACCTTGCTGCCGCTCCTTGTCAACTAGTGAATATCACTGGGTGACCAGTATACAGTACCGAACCTTGGACAGTCTAATATTCAAACATTTAGGAAAAGTTTTTTCCTAAATGCCGTCACCCTATAGTATGAATTCTCAACCTGTCCGACGGCATTTTGAACTCTTGAAATAGCTCCTTATGAAAATTCATGAGCCGTTAGGAGACCGGTTAGAATAAATTCTAGATAGCTCATTTTGTTTGGATCTCGACCAAACTATGCGTTATAAAACTTAATCTATATATGTAAATATACATATTTCAGTAAAGAAGTGCGGTTAGAGACATTTAACGCTTTGAAAAAAGATATTTGGCGCTTCTGAAAGTTTTTTCTAATGGGTTTTCCAATAAGAGGTGTTAGTTAGATATTAAAAGAAACTTTTCCCCATAAAAAATTGATGGTTTTATTGCTTGTGTGGCATGTAAGGACATCTTTTTGAAGTGAAATGTTGTCCAGATCAATACCATCCAATTCCGGCCGTAAAAGATCATTATCATCTCGCTATAGCGCAATCTATTTTTTTTTTTTTTTTCGAAAAAGTAGCGTCCAATGACTCTACCGGACAATTATACGTCGAGGATGGAGAGCATTTTCAACAATAAATCTTGGGTTCTCCGTGCCCCAGATGCATCAGTTTCGCATATTGACGTAGCCATTGAGGAGAAAATACGTTACATCAGTCAAGATGACTTTTCGATGAAACTTTCATAGTGAATTTTGATAATTTCAAATTACAGCTTCAAAAGTAAGATCTACCGGAATAGCAGGCTTTTCAAAATAACACCTCTTATTGGAAAAGCCTTTATATATTTGCTTTGCTGAAAGGATAGGCCCTACCGGCTTCCTATCATTTTTTCTGAACTGTTGCTGATAGGTTAAATCGTAGTCTGGGAAATAGATTGACGGCTTCTATGCGAAGGGTTAATTGCTCAATCGTTTTATATAAAAAAAATTTAGCCTTCATTTTTCGCTCATTTCATTCTCATAACCTTAGTAAAACTTGTAGATCTAGTGACGTCGAAATTGGACGCAAAAATTCGATTTTTCCAAGTGTTGTTCATGCCGTATGGACAAGTAAAAATTTGTTTAGCCAGTTGTGTTAGGAGTACCCACTTTTGCATACAATAAAAATACAAAATGCTATTTTCACGTATGCCTTGTCTCCGAAAGGATCACTTAAGAAAGTTTTTGAACAAAATGTACAGGGGATCGAGTCAAGAGCTACTATTTTATAGCAGATAAAATAAGAAATACTACAGAAACAACTTTCTCGCAAAAAATTGCGGATGATAAAGCCACACCATATAGATGCGCAGTATACAAAATGTATTACTTGCAAAAAAAAAAAAAAAAAAAAAATAGGTTATTCAAATGCACTCATAACTTGTTGTTAGACCTACTTCGGTGTTAGCGTTATGTCCGGCAGCGATGTACGTTGACCAGCAACTTCCACCGGTAGGCGCATGAGATGATTATGTGACACTGCTGCGCTACTGTTGTTGTTGACGTTGACGTTGTTAGACGTTGCCGCAGCATCGATATTGCTTGGTGCATACTTGAAAGCATTCTCCTCGCGTTCCTTAAGTTTTTGCTGCGAAAGTGTCGCCAAATTCTACAAAATATGGACAAGAGAAAGAAAGATAAAATAATAAAATATACACGCATACATACATACATATATGAAAAAAACAAAACAGCATTAAAATTAATTAGTTGCAATTGCACTTAGCAGACAGTCAAGCCAAACAACACTATCATACGATAATTTGCAAAACAAAAGATTCTGAACTCATCTCTAAATGACCCTGAACATTGATATTAATATTTTTTTGCTTTAGCTCATTTGTTGTTTTAGGTTTGTACTTTTCAAATACACGTACAACACACTTTGCTTGCTCTCGCGTCATGTTTTTCCATTGCGCGCTATTTTTAACGTTGAATCAGATGGCGACGGCGGGCGACAAAGTAGGCGTCAACGGCGACGACAGCCGCAAGCAAAGCCGCTGTCAACCTCAGCGGGCTGATTCATTATGAGTTTGTTTAATTTATTTTTGCTATTTTTTCTTCTTTTCTTAAGTTGTTTAGTTTGCGACGACATTTTTGCGCACCGCACAGCTGTGCGAGCGATGAACAACGTGATCACCGTTGCTGTTGATCAAGCTAAATTAATGCAAAGGCAAACAAACATACAAACATACGCGAATGCGCACACACGCAGCGAGTATTTAAATATGCATCAGATTCTTTTATCGCACTTACCCGCACCGCATCGCCAAGTAAATCAACAATCTCCTTTACATTATCTTCACTGAGCAACGTTTTTAGTTGTTGGCGCTCCGTTTGGGCATTTCCATCACCAACACCATCACCATCGGCACCACCACTACTTTCATCGTCGCCACGTCGCGCTGCATGGATTAGCATCACCTCGTCGCAAAGTTTCACTAATTTACCCAACGACTGATAGACTTGTTGTGTTGCCGACAAAAGGACGGGACTGTGTTTGTCCAATGCATAGGACTGTATAACAGTGTACATGCTGGCTATGGTCTCCAGTATAACCGTAGCATTGCCCGGTAGTACTTCGAGCTTCGATTTTAGTATCACATCGCGAAAATGTTTCAGAGCATTTGAAATGTCCTTAACATGATTTTCCAGCGAACTGGCAGATTTGGCTACCTCTTCGGCGGTCGGTGGGGGTTTCATAGACTTACTGCGTGGACTATGCGGTGAGTGGGATCTGCAAGTGAGCGAGAAAGACAACCAAATATAAGTGCCTACATACATCTAAAAAAAAATAATATGAGCTTTCAGCTTTATTATAACTTACCGTCCCAGCGTATTGTTGGGCGTACGTATCATGGAAATTTTTTCAATCAAATCGTCTTTGAAAGAACGCGCTCTACGCGCCAATTTCGTACCCTTCAAACTGTTCTTATGACCGGATGTACCAACAGCATAACCAGCGCCACCTGGCGCTTGATATATCACACTATTGCCGCTCAGCGGTGTATTGGCGGATTGTTGAGAGGTGGGAGTGGCCGGGGAGGGTGTGTTTGGTGATGGTGAGCCACCACCAGCGCAAACAAGATTCGATTGTGAGGAAAGTGAAGAGTTGGGAGTGGATGGAGAACTGATGGCACTGTCTGTAAGATACAATAAAAAAATAATAATTTTAGTTTCTTTTTCTGTATGGAAGTGACTGAAAATATAGTATATATAATAAAAACTTTATTTATACAAAATGACAAAGTTTTAAACAAAGATATAATGGTGCTTTGTTGCCATAAACGAGTGATGGACATGTAAAGCGTTTGGTTTCATATCAGAATCTTATTCGGAGGGGTTAAGGTGCCTGTCGAGAGCAACCGTTATGATAAAACTTTTTCCCATAATTCTGCTTTTTGGTCTGACCAGGATTCGATTTGGTCTGGTAGCGCGAACTAGCAACTATTCGTCGATTCACTAAGTTATAACTACAGTACAGAACATCTTTAAGTAGACTCCCAATATGAGCTTGCTGAGCATGAGCCAAAGAATCCGGCTAAAAAATTTCGCTGAGGTACCCAGCCAGGCTAGTTCATATAATACATCTTTTTGAATTGAAAGAACTACTCCTTACTTTGATGATTTCATGAGACTGGCTTTATTATCCGTAAAGGAAAATCTGTTATTATTTTATATATTTATATAAATTATTTTTTTTTTTAAATTTATACCAGGTTCAGTTCGGTTAATGGGCTGTTAGTCCAGCGACCAACGCACTTTGTGTCTAAGTCTCGTTGTGATATCACTGTGTGGTTCCTATCAGCTTACCATGGGTGCGAGCCAGTCAAAAAAGTTTCGCGAGGAACTTGTATCACGCGGTTGGCAAGGCTTGATAGTGGCACAGGCCTTTTCGATGTGATACAAATAATTAGAGCAGTAATCTATTATTATGTCGTGAAGCCCCCATAGACGGTGTGCTGATATAATATCGATCTGGAGGGCAGCGTACGACATACGCTTCACGAGGCTTATTAGCCATTCCACGTAGCCCAAGAGCCCGTGCAGAGCCAGGGTATCTCTGAAGTATACCCAAGTATGCTCTGCTCTAAGTCATTTATACTACTTTCCAGCTATTTGGTGCAATATACCCATAAGGTACGCAGTCTGATCTACGAACTACGGGGTGAGGTATTTTGAGGCAACCTCGCTGAAGGGATTTGCTGTTTGCATCGCCGAATTGTGATCGGAAGCTGTTGGGGCCATCTGTCTCTTACTTGGACGTACTCGCTGCGTTTTCCAGAAACCAAGGACTTTTAGGGCAATAGCCGTACACAGCAGCGGGTATAAATCCGATCTGGTTTCGCTAGAGGACGTTAGAAAGATAAAATTTCGTACCAAAAAAGATTTTCTGACAGTTTTGTGATTGGTTAATTCAGTTTGTTTGAGCGTACATTAAGAATGGATGTTGCGTGTGTTAAGAATGGATGTTGGTCGGACCAGAACTCGAACCCGTATATCATTGCTAGCCTCTCGGCTTTCGCGGCCGACATTAACCCTACTAAAAACTTCAACGGCTTCTATATTCCCATAAATAACAGAAATCTTCGATCTTATAACTCGATTACTGGACCTCTCGTTTCGTAAAAATATCTAACTCGAAAGTAAGTTAAGTAAATAGCTGTAGCTCGACGGAATGCCAGAGCATGTTTAGTAGCAACATTTTTGTAATCCGACATATTCTGAAATGTTATTGTCTCATCGGAACTGAGAAGCTGGCGTCTTTGGGGTTTTGTCATCTTAAACCAACCCAAATGAGCAGCATTATCTAATTGAGCTGTGAGGGTGTTCACTCAATAACACTGAAGTTGGCACCCCGAACAACTCGGCACTAGCAAAACGATTCTGTTATATCGATCGATCTTATCACATCTCCCTTTGTATGACAAGAACTATATACAAGCCATTGAACCTATTTGAAAGACGAAAAACCGGAAGATCGAACACAAATACACACACACTCATAAACACTCATATTGAAATCACGGTCCATAAATAGTATGACCAAAATCCACAAATTTAGACTTACATTGAACGACATTCTTCACGACCACGCGTGGCCGATAGGGTGTATAAAAAAATTTCGGTGATTTCAGTTTACGCCGCTGATAGAGTTTCAGCCCACGATCCAATGAGTACGAGATGATGTGCTGACTTTCGGCGTACGAACAATCGCTAACAAACGAATCGTCGAAGTGCGGCATTGCATAACAAATAAACAGCTGATGGCAATAACCACAAGAAGATATTATTATAATGTGTAAATGTTTGTTGCTTCCACTTACTAATATGTAATTAGTGGATTTATAAACACAGCAGCTTAAGATTGGTAAATGGTGAAGTCAAAACAAAAATGAAAAAAAAAAAATAATCAGGAAACTGGAAAGCACCAAAAATAATTTTTATTTTATTTTGAAAGCCAGTTCCGCGGGTAACGCCAAAACAATACACCAAAAATGCCAAATATGTTTGTGTGCGCGTGTGTGCGCCTGTAGAAAAAAAAGCCTGTCTAAAAATTTAGGTTGAGTATTCGGCCATTTGTGTGAAGTTGGCGAGAGATTGCACTCGTTTCGGCTTTGTTTGTGCTTGTGTTGTTGTTGCTGTTGTTTTTGCTAGCGAATGCCGCCAGCACTGCAAAGACGTTGAAGCAACGCTAATTTGCTTTTGAGCTAATGTTAAATAATTAAGTTAACACGCTCTGCCTGCCGGATGGTTGGTTGGCTCGGCTGGGTCTGCCTTTTTCGGTTGGTGTGTTTGCCTTTTGGCTGTTGCTGCTGATGATGCCGTGACGTTGAGGTTCGTTGCTGATGAGATTTGATGTAATTAACAACGCGTTATCATTTGAGACTGAAACGAACTGACAGTGGGTGCTGATGAAAATGATGATGACACGAACACTAAAGCGCGTGTAATATCACAGACACTGTTGAGTAATAAATAGCGAGACACACTTTTTATTGCGAAACTTCAAAATAAATATTTTTTCAGAAATATTTGCAAATATAAAATTTATTTTCATCACTTCAAGTACGCCGATTTGCTCGTTACGATTTTTCGGTCTTTTGTTCAACTCGCTGCGCTTTGCGCTCTACACCACAACCAACTAACTAGACAATGCGACAATAGCCAGACATTAAGATAAGCAGGCGGCAGGCATACAGATACTGCAGTTCATACATATGTATTTCTGTATATGCATGTGATTACGTGTAACTTTTGCAAAAAAAAAATAAATAAATAAATAAATAAAAACGCCCGGCGATACGTAAGCACAATTCCGTTCCGTTTTGTACCGTGTGCCGCTTTTGTGCGACCGTGTTGCGCGTACTTGGCAGTGTTACCTTCAAGTTAGGAAGCGCACTGAGCTATGAAAATCAGCGCTGGCGGCTGTGAGCCACCAGACTAAAACCGTGACAAAAACATCAGCAGCAACAACGAGAAGAACAACAATTGCAGCAGCAGCAGCAGTCGACCAGCAGCCAGCAGCCAGAAAGTCAAGAGACGAAGACGGATATACGAAATACTATATGCATGCAAGTTCGAGTATGTATATACATGCGACTAAAAAGCGATACGAGAGTCAAACACGACGACCGCGACGACAACAAAAGGCCAACAAGCGCACAACAGTATGCTAGCTAAGTACGACCAGTCAACACTATGAACCTGCCAAGCAGCACAACAAAGTAACCACCACCGCTCAGCCCGCTAGTCAACGCCAGCCTTACGTGAGCAGTCAGGCGGTCAATCGGCAGTGGTGCGGCACTTTGCTTTTGTTTGTCAACAGCAGCAGTTGACTGTGCTTTGCGCTGCTCCGCTCTGTCGGGCCCACAGTGTCCAATGGTCAAAAGCAGCTTCATCATCATCGGCCGACCACATCACCGCAGCAGAGGAGTGTAGCGCACGTCTACGTCAAGTAGTAATAAATAACGCGCCCATATAAACAAATAGTAAGTGACCAGAAATAGCATCAATTACAACAATAATAGATGAAATGGCATACACGTATTAAAAATAGAAGCAAAAATTATGCTTTGCACAGCTATCATCGAGCACCAATTGCTGCCGAGTACATTGGCTGATTGGTACGAATACTCGCGCCATTGTCAATATGTGCGGTTGTGATTTACGCAGCGCAGACCAGCGAGTATGAGTACATGCACCTTCCTATGTGTTGCTCTCGCTCAACGGTGCGTAACAGCGAAATAAATATTGGTGGCGGCCACAAAACTTGAATGAAATTTCAATACAACCGCGCAGGAATAGCGAGAATTGTGAAAATAAAGATGAAAAGGTAAATAAGAAATACAAAGCAAAACAAAAACAAAAGCAAAAACAAATGTGCCTGCTGCTGTCGAACAGCAACGAAGTGAATATAAAATCTTAATAGAAAAATAGGTAAACTAGTATGAGAGAAGGAAAAAACAACTAATAAGTGCAAGAAAAAAGTGAAATTTGCTTTTAAGCAATACTTTGAAACCACAATAAAAGCAAACACGTCAAATGTATTTCTGTTCCGCATAGAGGCACTGACCAAAGAGTAGCACACCATGGCCGCCAGGTTGATTGCCTGCCTGCTGGCTTCAGTAAACGCGCCAAAAACCACTGGTACTAGTAGCTCGCTATTGTAAACAGGAAGGACAATGACTTTCTAACAATAAAGAGGCAAACAACTTTTGTTTTTCTATTTTTTTTTTTTTAATTTAATTTGAGTGTTGGACATGAAAGGCAAAAGGCTTATGTCTAATAGTTATTGGGAGATCAAATGGATTAGTGAAAGCAAAGAGAGAGGTTAGAAAAGAATGAGCCTAACCTCCTATACATACAGATAACCAAAAAATGAAATTTTTAATAAATGAAATATAATATTTTAGTTGGCAGAAAGCATCGTATTTTGGCCTGAAACGAAGAAATCTAGCACGAAATCGTTGCGAAATGAAAGAAATTCAGCTAAGTTAGTTAAGATAGTTTGATGCAGAGCTCAGTTTTTATAAAATATGAAGCCATTTAAGGTATACCAAGACAATCGTGAGGGTGGGAGTGTCTAGTGTCTCTAGTCTTTAACTCACAATATATAAAAATCTAGCAAGATCTCTATATG